CGCCACCCTTGCTAAACTGACTCTCGCAGGATCAGAGACGAAGCAAAGATCGAGCAAGCGCTGTAAGGAATTTCGAACAAGGTTGACTTGTGACAGCGAAATGTCGAACAAGCCAGCGATAAAGTCTTGTTGTGTAGGTGTATGGAGAGTATTGGTGGAATTATTTGAGCACCAAATAGCACCAGTGATATTAAAATTTCCTAGGACTACCAACTGGTCTTCATCTAAAAGTTTACTGGAAACCATCTGAATAGCTGAAAGGTGTTTCCAATAAATAGGAAGTTCCAACAATGGAGGTATGTAGGAACGGGTAATAAAAATGGAGCTACCTTTGATAGATAGCTTCACACAGAGGAATTCAACATCGTCCACCGCTATAAGAACTCAACCCCAGCGCCTGATAGGGCGTCTAGCTTTTGTACTGGCATTTTATATTATTCTAAAATTTCGATTTTAATTTCATAAAAATTAATAGCTGCCGTACAAAAGATCGTTGGATTAGAGGAAAGTGCAAAACTGGGAATATAAAACTGTAAATACAATATGTATAGGTGAATTCATCGGGAACTCGGCAGGGGGCGATCGCCAATACCGAAGAGAGGAGAGCGGGAGCTCGTAGATTAGCTCGATGAGCAGTGCGTGAAGGGACGACATGCGGGAGTGCAAGAGCGGCCGAGCTTTGTGCTAACGTGCATTCATCCCAAATAAGAATTTTACATTTTTGCATCAATTTAGCTGTCTTCGATTTTTTGGTTATTGTGCACCGATTGAAAGGCAGCCTCATTGCGGAATGTGTAGTTCGACTACCTCCCAACAATGTGGCAGCAATGCAACAACCAACGCTTTCTTTCTTGTTTTTAATAATTTTAAAAAGTATTGGTAAAATGCTCAGCTAAAGTGTTTTGGTTCCGCTTGAGGCGTCGCCGCTGTTTTCGCTTCTGCCGTAGTCGCTGCGGCTGTAATAGTTTCTATTAAGTAATATAGTAAAGTAATATAAAATGGCTAAATCTCAAATTTGATCAAATTCTGTTGAAAACTGAATATGTTATAATTTTTAATTGAATTTATTTCTCGATCGTTCCTATGGGGGCTATATGATATAGTAATCATATTTTCATAAAATTTACATTAAACTGTTAAGTAATATAAAATGGATATACCAAGTCTTCGGAACATTAAGGACCTGAACCAATTATTTGAGAATTAGGCTATTTAAAAAAAAAGTATTTTAATTTTTAACAAATAACAAAAAATGATGTTTATTTTAAAAGTTATCTGTTTTTAATGTGGGTGGAAATTTTTACTGTAAATATGGTATTTAATAGTATTCTGCGGTTATGTACAGTTAACCTGTTAAATACTGTAATTTACTAATTTCGTTGGTTAAAGAATTTCTACTTCAGAATAGAGGTTGGATTCACTGTAAAGCAGTAACACAACGTAATGCGTTACGTCGTTTTACTGGACCTCACAGTAAATCCAACCCAAGATTTTGGGTTGATGACATTTAACTGCAGAATTGATTGGATTTACTGCAGGAATTTTTTCTGTGTAGGTGAATAAAATAGAGGCAGTGATTACTTTATTGCTTTTTAATATCTATTATTTATATTGTATTAATTCATAGTGATCGAAGTGCTATCTGCAAGGCTATATAACTTCGGGGTGCCAAAGTTAGCTTCCTTTCTTGTTCTATTTGAATTTTGTGGTCAGGATTCTTTCATTAAATGAAAATGCCGACTGTAATAATACGTGTGATATATATGAATATATTTTAATGAAATATTAAATTTAGAAATGGCTCAGGTATTTAAGTTAATTGTTTGCCTTTCTCTCTTATCTAGTCTTTTTTGCAGTGATAGCAGCTGCATGATACAGCGCTTTTGAATGTAACGGTGCGAATGCCATCTATGCACAAAACTCGACGTTGTATCTATAACGAAAAAAGTTGATAGAAGTAACATAAAACATTAAGTTTGACTTACCTCTTCTGACTTCATAATGTTGCAACATTGCCAACACTAACCACTGGCTTAGGTTGTTTAAATAGACCTGTAAGCGTGGCTCCCGCCCAGGGGACAGAGGGCACGGAGTATGATTCGCAGAATCCACGGCACGCATTCGTCGTGATGGTAAACTCCACGCAATCGGGAATGGATATCTTTCGCGTATTCCCCACTTTATGGCAGCCAGGACGTAACCAGGCATCTTTATCTATTGAACTGTTTACGCCGAAAAAGAACCACGAGCAGCAGCAGCTGAGAAGGAGAAATATCTCGACTGACCTCATCTTTATAACTGTTGAGCTATGCCATAAACCTACCCATGTTTTATAATAACACAGCATCCTCACGTCTGCGCAGGAAAATGGAAGCAATGAAATTAATTCTCTGCTCATGAAGAGAATGCAGAAATACATGCATAATAAATTCGGTAAGCAATGAATTAATTAATTTTGTTCTTTCAGAGGAACAAAGTTAAGATAGGTACATACTAGTTTATTTTCCTTTTTGATTTTATAATTTTGCAGAAGAAATTAACACTTTTTATTTTATTATAAATTTTAAAGGTATTTTATTTAAGTAATTGTAATTTATGTAACGAATCGCTACACTCAAAACAAATGTCACAGGCAAGTTGTTAGCTCGAGATCGGAGCGCACGCAAGATATTTTTCCGGCTTCGGCTCGTCGGCTACGGGAGTGATGGTCTTGCTCAGATCTCGGGTTGCCTTTGCATAATTTTAAACAGAAATAACTGCGTGCTACAACAAGCTTAAACCGGGACAGAGAAACAGACAACACATAAATAAAAGTCGAGGAAAATTTAACTCTCTTCGGCTTACTCCCCCTTTTTTAGCACTCCTGGTGTTCTGAAGGCTCTAGTTTGCCCACCCTTCCTATGGTCGCTTCCATCCTCAAAGCTATATAGCTTGAGCGACCCCTTCGACAAGTGCTACCCTACATCACAACGCATGCCAGCTGCGGCCAATACTCGACATTTTAAAACATTATAATAATTTTATTTAAAACTAGAAAGATATAAATTCAATTCTTAAAATAAGAAACGTATATAGACAATTAAACATTAAAACTTAGAGTACCAATGATAAATAAATATACGTCTTTCAACTCGATTTCGGGCAAAAATAAAAATAATGGCAAAACAATTTTGGGCAAGTTGGAGGAAATTGTTATTTACGCTGACTGAGATTCAATCCAAATGTTGCAACAACAAAAATAATAATTCGAATTGGAGAAGCATAAAAGCCCTCAGCTTAAATAGCCTTATGTATCAGCGTTCCTCCTTTTTTTTCCTTTCCCTCTTCGTTTTCTGCCGTTGGTTCGGTTAACTTTTCGATCTTTCTTTTACGTTAACGGCTCAAGATTTGGGACATTTTCTTTCTTTCCAATTAATTTCTTTTTTTTTTTTTGTACTTGAAAATTGTTTAAATTATTACTTCGACACTCACCATTTTCTTAACTCCACCGATGAAAGCGCTTTCCTCGGAGGCTAGCTGAAAATTGGGATGAAAATGATACATGCAAAAAAAGAAATTCACATCCCTAAAAGAGATTACGAAGATGGGAGGGAAACTATCATAAAAAAAGACGCATACGGCCCGCTCTATTTAAATCGATTTTCTCATTAATTTTCACCGGAATGCAACGAATTAACATTTCTCTTTGCCGCACATTGCTCTTTACATATGCCTAAGTTCATTTCACATCATTCTTTTTTTTCCTTGCAATTTTTCCACAATTTAACCTAACTTAAAATTTCTTTTTTTTCTTTAACTAATTTTCCATATTATCTTCACTGACACTGGAACAAAATGGGGGTCGAAAATTCCCTTTTTCTTTACAATAGTTCGTCGCGATGAGGCATGGGGCTCGAATTAAATGTACGTTGGCCGGGATCGCATTGCGGCGGCGAGTTCAAAACGCCTGAAAGAATTACATTAAACTAATCGCAATGCTTTGCCGAAGCCAACGCCTACACCGTCTCTGGCATAAAAGCTCATACGACTGCTACCGAATTCTCTGCTTAGTTGTGCTCTCTAGAGCTGTTCGCCAAGGGGACAAAGGTCGTTCTACCGCATTCGGTGATTAATTATGCTTCAACCCCATAAAATTATATAAAAAGTAATATTTTCCCCAGCTCTGGTGAGCGGGGCGACGGGGAAGTCCTCCTCCTAGAATTCAGATCCAGGCGTTTAAAAGAATCCAAGAAGCTGCGCCGGCGTCGTTTCGTTGCCTGCCCCTCGCCTCTCCTCGGGCCTTCGAGCGGTACAAACTGCAGCCTTTAAAATTCATAAATAAGTTCAAGCTAGCCTATGCTTTTCCCTATCTGTACGCTCACCTTTCTATTCGTGGCTCAGTGGCCAATAAGCAAAATTGTATTCTCAGCACTTTGAACACTCGCGATTACTTTTTCGAAATTTTGTCGCCAGTCTCCAAATATAGGAGTCACTACACTTCAGCAGCCAAAAATGGAATGCTGGAAGATGACGCCGGAAAAGTGGCGGTAACCCAATGTGAAAGTGGGGGAAACGGGGAGACCGTTGACAAATGCCTCTGTTACTCTCTCACCCGATCTTTCGTGCCCTAGCCGACCTACGCTTGCTACACTGGCAAAGCCGCCTTTCGACATATGATCGACCAACAGATGGCGCTAATAAAAAGTATCTTATACCGAGCAAGCGCTACATTTAATTATATTTAATAAATATACAAGTTGTTGTGATGTAAATGTTAAGCGGCACTTCGAACTGATCAACGATTCAATCATCAAAGCAAATTAGCACAAACTTATTTTACAGACTTCATTTACCATAATTTTTTCTTTTTATCATTGGGGACTCAGTGATGCAAAGCACACTACTTAGGACCACATTTGATTAATGTGATGGTAGTTCCTTACTTGTTTTTCAGACGGCCACGAGTGTGGTGGCACTAAGTGAGCGTATGAATTTTAGTTCAGAATTTAAGGTTTGTTTCATTCGTTACATAAACTGTCTCGTTGTTGTTGATTAATTATTGAATATAATTTCTAATTCTACAGTTGAATACGGAGATCTTTCTCCTCCATATTAATAGACTTAAATCAACAAACCCCGTTTTCTGGGTAATTTTTTTTTTACATTGCCTCTGCACTTGTGGTATCATCTTTAATATCAGCACATTTCCCTTTCTATGCAAGGTCAAGTACCTCAGGACACTGTTGGCGCATTCCCGCTATGAATCACCATCAAAATGGAAACCATTTGCACGGCGTAAACGAAGGGGTTTCGCTTCCGCTTACCCTAGTTCCACAGCTTTCGATTGCCACATTGGAGCGGGATGTAGACGGAAATGGTCCGGTCGACGAGCTGCTTGGCGTCGGTCTCCACTCCAATCTCAAGGTGTCACCAAAATCACTTGCACCCACCGTTAGCGACCACGCTCTAAACACACTAAACGAGCTTCGCGAGGCAAATCTACTCTGCGACGCGCAGATTTCTGTGGGAGAGCAGGCCTTCAATGTGCACCGTGCTATCATGTGTTCCTGCAGCTCTTACTTTCGGTGAGCACTAATCAAACTAAAAAGTTTGCCACTGCAGGGCATTCTCTTTCACATCTCCTCGCTAGCGCACAGTTTACGGGATTCAATGCCATTAGTGGCGCATGCGGAACTGGAGGAACAGGGATGGAGGAGAACCGCGTCATCCACATTCCAGGAATAAGCGCCAACATAATGAATGGTGTCATTCAGTATGCCTACCTACGGCAGACGAATATCAACGACGAAAATGTGCACGAATTGCTAATCTGTGCGGATTATGTGGGCATGGTGGGTTTGGTTAAACAGTGCAAGGATTATCTCAGCCATACCCTTACACCAGAGAACTGTGTCAGCATTATGGGATTCGCACGGTGAGTGGCGATTGGGCGCATAAAAATCCGATTTTAATTGGCATCACGGCAGGTTCCGGTTTCTAGAGGATTTGTACCAAAAGGCACGCAACTACACCCTACGGTACTTCACGGAGGTGGCCGCTCGTAATACGGACATAATGGATATGAATGTTAAAGACTTCTACAGTATAATTAGTGACGATGAGCTCAACACACGCGAAGAAGACTACGTATGGAAATTGTGTGTCAAGTGGATTGATCGGGATCCGGAAAACCGCAAACAGCACGTGGCGCACTTAATGACCGGACTTCGACTTGGTCTAATGACCCCAAAGGTGGGTCCTTGTTATACAATGAGAAATTAAAACAATACATTGTTTGTTAGATAGAATCTTCCCTCAATTTCTCGTTGAATTCAAAAGGTGAAACACTTAGTACATATAGTCTATTACGACAGTAAATTAATTTTTATAAGAAAAGAAAGAAAGCAAACATCCGCAAACTTCAAAGAACTTCGATAACGAGGAATTAATACAGTATAAATTATATATATTTATGTTAAAAAACAATGTAGTAATACCTGCTTTCATTTTATTCACCTATCCATATTATATTCATAGTTTGACATTCACAGATTTGCATTATTCCTCTAAATCTAACGATCGTTCCTGTGGGACCTATATGATATAGTAGTCAGATTTTTATAAACTTTTACACAAAATTGTAGAATGATATGAAATGGCTATAGCTCGAATTTGATCAAATTCTGCTGAAAACTGAAAAGGATCTACTTTTAATTGTATAAATTTCTCGATCGTTCCTGTGGGAGCTATAAGAAATAGTATTCCAATTTTCATAAAATTTTACACAAAATTGTAAAGTAATGTAAAATGGCTATATCTCAAATTTGATCAAATTCTGTTGAAAACTGAAAAGGTTATAATTTTTAATTTTATTAATTTCTCGATCGTTCCTATGGGAGCTTTAGGATATACAAGTCAGATTTTCATAAAATATTACAAAAATTGTAAAGTAATAAAAAATGGCTATATCTCACATTTGATTAAAATTTGTTGAAAACTGAAAAGGTTCAAATTTTTAATTGTATTAATTTCTCGATTGTTCCTATGTGAGCTATAGGATATATTAGTCCGATTTTCCTAATATAGTACACAAAATTGAAGAGTAATATAAAATGGCTATATCTCAAATTTGATCCAAGTCTGTGGAAAACTGAAAAAGTTATAATTCTTTATTGTATTAATTGAAGAGTAATATGAAATGGCTATATCTTAAATTTGATTAAATTCTGTTAAAAACTGAAAAAGCTATAATTTTTATTTTTATTAATTTCTCTATCGTTTCTATGGGAGCTATAGGATATAGTAATCCGATTTTCATAATATTGTACGTAAAATTGTAAAGTAAAATCAAATGGTTACATCTTAAATTTGATTTAATTGTATTGAAAATGAAAAAAAAAATATAATTTTTAATTGTATTAATTTCTCGATCGTTCCAATGGGAGCTATATGATATAGTAGTCCGATTTTCATAAAATTGTACACGAAATTGTAAGGTAAAATAAAATGCTTATATCTCAAAGTTGATCAATTTCTATTCGAAACTGAAAAAGTTATAATATTTAATTGTATAAATTTCTCGATCGTTCCTATGTTAGCTATAGGATATAAAAATCCGATTTTAATAAATTTGTACACAAAATGTAGAATTATATAATACGGCTGTATCTCAAATTTGATGAAATTCCGTTCAAAACTGAAAAAGTAAAAGTTTTTAATTGTATTAATTTCTCGATTGTTCCAATGGGAGCTATAGGATATAGTAATCCGATTTGCATAATAATAATAATAATATTGTACGTAAAATTGTAAAGTACATTTAAATGGCTACATCTCAGATATGATATAGTAGTCCGATTTTCATAAAATTGTACACAAAATTGGAGTGTAATATAAAATGGCTATATCTCTGATTTGATCAAATTCTGTTGGAAACTAAAAAAGCTATAATTTTTAATTGTATTAATTTCTTGATCGTTCCTATGGGAGCTATAGGATATAGTAATCCGATTTTCATAATATTGTACGTAAAATTGTAAAGTAAAATCAAATGGTTACATCTTAAATTTGATTTAATTGTATTGAAAATGAAAAAAAAAATATAATTTTTAATTGTATTAATTTCTCGATTGTTCCAATGGGAGCTATAGGATATAGTAATCCGATTTTCATAAAACTGCACACAAAATAGTAAAGTATAATAAAATGGCTATATCTTAAATTTGATCAAATTCTGTTAAAAAAATGAAAATGTTATAATTTTTAATTGTATTAAATTCTCGACCGTCCTATGTAAGCTATATGATATAGTAATCCGATTTCATACAATTGAAGAGTTACATATGGCTATATCTCGAATTTGATCAAATTCTGTTGAAAACTGAAAAAGCTATAATTTTTATTTTTATTAATTTCTCTATCGTTTCTACGGGAGCTATAGGATATAGTAATCCGATTTTCATAAAATTGTACACAAAATTGTAGAGTAATACAAAATGGCTTTGTCTCAAATTTGATTAAATTCTGTTGAAAAATGAAAAAGTTCTTATTTTTAATTGTATTATTTTATTGAACGTTCCTATGGGAGCTATAGGATATAGTAATCCGATTTTTATAAAAAAAATACACAATATTTGTGATTAATATTAAATGGCTATATCTCAAATTTGTTCAAATTCTGTTGAAAACTGAAAAAGCTATAAATTTTATTTGTATTTATTTCTTGATCGTTCCTATGGAAGTTATAGGATATAATAATCCGATTTTTATAAAATAGTAAACAATATTTTTGATTATGTAAATATTAAATGGCTATATCTCAAATTTGCTCAAATTCTGTTGAAAATTGAAAAAGCTATAAATTTTAATTGTATTTAATTCTTGATCGTTCCTATGGAAGTTATAGGCTATATCTCAAATTTGATCATATTCTGTTGAAAACTGAAAAAACTATAATTTTTAATTATATTAATTTCTTGATCGTTCCTATGGGAGCTAAAGGATATAGTAATCCTATTTTCATAAAATTGTACGTAAAATTGTAAAGTAAATCAAATGGTTACATCTCAAATTTGATTTAATTCTGTTGAAAACTGAAAAAGTTCTTATTTTTAATCGTATTAATTTCTCGATCGTTCCTATGGGAGCTATATGATATAATAGTCTGATTTTCATAAAATTGTACACAAAATTGGAGAGTAATATAAAATGGCTATATCTCAAATTTGATCAAATTCTGTTGAAAACTGAAAAAGCTATAATTTTTATTTTATTAATTTCTCTATCGTTTCTATGGGAGCTATAGGATATAGTAATCCGATTTTCATAAAATTGTACACAAAATTGTAGAGTAATACAAAATGGCTTTGTCTCAAATTTGATTAAATTCTGTTGAAAAATGAAAAAGTTCTTATTTTTAATTGTATTATTTTATTGAACGTTCCTATGGGAGCTATAGGATATAGTAATCCGATTTTTATAAAAAAATACACAATATTTGTGATTAATATTAAATGGCTATATCTCAAATTTGTTCAAATTCTGTTGAAAACTGAAAAAGCTATAAATTTTATTTGTATTTATTTCTTGATCGTTCCTATGGAAGTTATAGGATATAATAATCCGATTTTTATAAAATAGTAAACAATATTTTTGATTATGTTAATATTAAATGGCTATATCTCAAATTTGCTCAAATTCTGTTGAAAATTGAAAAAGCTATAAATTTTAATTGTATTTAATTTCTTGATCGTTCCTATGGGAGCTAAAGGATATAGTAATCCTATTTTCATAAAATTGTACGTAAAATTGTAAAGTAAAATCAAATGGTTACATCTCAAATTTGATTTAATTCTGTTGAAAACTGAAAAAGTTCTTATTTTTAATCGTATTAATTTCTCGATCGTTCCTATGGGAGCTATATGATATAATAGTCTGATTTTCATAAAATTGTACACAAGGTTTTAGACTAATATAAAATGATCAAATTCTGTTGAAAACTGAAAAAGGTATAATATTTAATTGAATTAATTTATCGATCGTTCCCGTCGGATCTATAGGATATAGTAATCTGATTTTCATAAAATTGTACTCAAAATTTGGAGTAATATAAAATGGCAATATCTCAAATTTGATCAAATTTTGTTGAAAACTGAAAAAGTTCTTATTTTTAAATGTATTAATTTTTCGACCGTTCCTATGTGAGCTATATAATATGGTAATCCGATTTTCATACAATTTTAAACAAAATTGTAGAGTAATATAAAATGGCTATATCTCTGATTTGATCAAATTCTGTTGGAAACTAAAAAAGCTATAATTTTTAATTGTATTAATTTCTTGATCGTTCCTATGGGAGCTAAAGGATATAGTAATCCTATTTTCATGAAATTGTACGTAAAATTGTAAAGTAAAATCAAATGGTTACATCTTAAATTTGATTTAATTGTATTGAAAATGAAAAAAAAAAATAATTTTTAATTGTATTAATTTCTCGATCGTTCCAATGGGAGCTATATGATATAGTAGTCCGATTTTCATAAAATTGTACACAAAATTGTAAAGTAAAATAAAATGCCTATATCTCAAAGTTGATCAATTTCTATTCGAAACTGAAAAAGTTATAATATTTAATTGTATAAATTTCTCGATCGTTCCTATGTTAGCTATAGGATATAGAAGTCCGATTTTAATAAATTTGTACACAAAATGTAGAATTATATAATACGGCTGTATCTCAAATTTGATCAAATTCCGTTTAAAACTGAAAAAGTAAAAGTTTTTAATTGTATTAATTTCTCGATTGTTCCAATGAGAGCTATAGGATATAGTAATCCGATTTTCATAAAACTGCACACAAAATAGTAAAGTATAATAAAATGGCTATATCTTAAATTTGATCAAATTCTGTTAAAAACTGAAAATGTTATAATTTTTAATTGTATTAATTTCTCGACCGTTCCTATGTAAGCTATATGATATAGTAATCCGATTTCATACAATTGAAGAGTTACATAAAATGGCTATATCTCGAATTTGATCAAATTCTGTTGTAAACTGAAAAAGCTATAATTTTTATTTTTATTAATTTCTCTATCGTTTCTATGGGAGCTATAGGATATAGTCATCCGATTTACATAAAATTGTACACAAAATTGTAGAGTAATACAAAATGGCTTTGTCTCAAATTTGATTAAATTCTGTTGAAAAATGAAAAAGTTCTTATTTTTAATTGTATTATTTTATTGAACGTTCCCATGGGAGCTATAGGATATAGTAATCCGATTTTTATAAAATAGTACACAATATTTTTGATTAATATTAAATGGCTATATCTCAAATTTGCTCAAATTCTGTTGAAAACTGAAAAAGCTATAATTTTTAATTATATTAA